GGCAGTTCACAAGAAAAGGAGGCAAGACTTTAGTTGCAAGAAAGTGCTTCAAACTGGGACAATGTGATGAACAAAAATGCTAAACTGGGGTAATTTTGAGAGAATGAAGTTGAATCGAGCCAAAGATGAAACCAAAACATCATACTAGGATAATTCTATTTGAAAGTTTTGTTAATAGGTGGTCAATTTACATGAGGGACTAGCATTGTTCATCTAGAAGGCATCACTTAAGCAGTAGGATACGTCACTATTGCTATAATTATTTTAATCATTTGTTTGATGCATTTATTTTTACTCGTTTTGTAAGTCTCATTGTGAACTAACCTTGTTTCTTTTTCTTCTTCTTTAATTATAGTGATCCTATTTTGTATTTTAAATGAAATTAATTATAAATTTTTTAAAAATATATATTTTATATTTTAAATAAAATAAATATTTATATATTTTTTTAAACTTGTTTTACATTTGTAAGTTACAAAATTGATTTTTTAAAATTTATAAAGATTTTAAAAGAGAAGTTTAAACGTATTTTATTAATTTATTTTGTTTTAATTACTTTAAAAAATTATGTTAACCTCTGTATTTTAATAAATTATTATTTTTAATCTTTTACATCAACGTGGTTTAACCATAATTGATATTTAATAGTTTTTTAGTAAAATAAATTATTAATAGAGTAAAAATAAAATATCGTGAAAATATAAACATAAAAAAATTATTTAAAAAACTAAAACTAAATATTTACTCAAATATAAAAATTAAAAATATATTTAAATCTTATTTTTAAATCACTTTACTTCTTTGTGATGATATGACATTATCTAATCATATTCGAATTTTTTTTTCAATGGCAAGCTGTATAAATCACTTACTAGTCTAAATTATTGACTTAATAAGTGATAATAGAATTTTTTTTTTAAATTTTAAAAGATCAAGATACACAAAAAGACTAAAAGTCTAAAATAAAATTTGATTATATATATAAATTAAAAACTTATTCCACCTAAAATTTATTTTTACATTTCTTTTTCGTTTTAGTTCATGATATATTATATAACTTCTAACAGTTGGCCGACGCATCTCAATATATATTTTTAACTAAATTTATTATTATTGTTATTATTATGAAATTATTTCAAAATTTATAACAAAAGTATATTTTAAGAAATGGTATGCAGTATGTTACAATGCTTTAATTTTAGTCAGAATGCGCGCCGAATACAATATCAAGGGTGAATCATTAGATTTTAGTAGAATACAAGTTAAAGGCTTGCTTTTGCATTTTTTGATTTTGGAAGAAAATAAATTTCATATTTTTATTTATTTGAATAATAATATTTGTTTGTATTTTAATTAAGAAATATATTTATTCTTAGAGAATGTTTATTAAGAAATAAATAGATGTTTTTAGTATTAATATCGTCACAAAAATAATACTATAAATAAAAATAATAATAAGACAGAGGGTGAGTCTAATGGGGAGTCCTAATTCCGAAGCGCATAAATGAAAAGCTGGAAGAGGGGAAACTGAAGAAAATGGCATGTAAAGGAAAACATGACTGAGTTACCAAATATATGTAAGAGAAAGGGTATGCACTAGTGACCAGGCTGCAAATAGAAGCACCTAAAGAAAATCGTAGGAGAACACCCTAGAAACTTTAATGGAATCCGATGCCTCACTTTGCTATGGGCACCCTATTGCCAGCATCAGATATTTTGCAGCATAAAACCACTGTTTCTCAAACTCAATGATCCCCTTAGAATCTGCAAATCTGGCTCCTATCATGCACCATACAATGTGTAATTTGTGTGTGTTGTTTCTTCTGTACCCTCTTCCTACTACTGCTACCCATGTGGCACATTCTCTCTAGTGCCCTTACTGTGCCATCCAAATTTGACTTCTACCCTGCCATATTCCGGCAAAGAGAATAACAACAGCCAAAAATAGATCCTGTAATTAAGTGAAAATCTGAATCTCAGAACCCATTCAAAGTCTTACTACCCAAAACAGTGGCTTAATTAAGCTCAAGATTCTAATTAGAATCTAAACATTTCTTTTTTAGTTATTTAAATCGTCTATCTAACAAAAGGGTATGAGAAGTAAACATGATCGTCTTAAGTTATTTTGTATTTTCGCTTAAGGCAACATATTTTTGCTTAAAAATGTAAAATTTTGCCTAAATACGTGTTGCAGTTCTTGCACGAATCCAGATTCAAAAAGTTAAGAAACTGTAAATTTATTATTACAAAAATTATTGATTTATATTTAATGCTTATTTACTTTTCTTTGACGCAAGTTTCGCTGTTTTATATATAAATTTTAAAAAATAAGAATTAAAGTAAAAATAATAATATTTCTTAAAAAAAAATTATCCCTATACACGTTTTAATAAATTAAGCATATAAAAAATTAGTCTGTCTTATTAATTTCTGTCAATTAAGCACACGCGTGAAACTCTTTTGTTAATCAACAAAAAATGTTTAAAAATATTTTAAAATAGAAATTTAAATATTTTTTCTATAAAAATTGTATTTAGAATAAATTCTTAATAAATATTTAAAAATTAATCTCTACTAAATTAAGCAAGAAAAAACAGAGATTAATTTATTCGTATTTTTAAAGAGTACAGTAAACTTTTTTCGGTGAATTAATATAAGTGACTTCAGACAAATTAAAAAAAAACATAAATTAATCGATATATTTTGTGTTGTGTTTAGCGTGAGCCCTTGAAATTCATGAAACACGAGATGATGATTTTAAATGGCAGAACATTCCTTCATGGGATTCTTCTTTCTTTGATTCAGTCAGAAGTCACACTCCTCACACCACCAGATTAAGTCAATCTTTCTTCACCCAAATTAAGACAATTTACATATATTCAGATGTTAATGTTTCATTTCATGATCAGCACAATGTTCTACAGAAATGAAATACAGCTCTAAACATCATTATCATTATCAAATCATATGCCACACAAACTTCATCGAATGTTTTCGGTATTATTGATCTCCTGAAGCATAAATTATATGCCTTTCTTATTCAGCATGCCAAATTAACATAAATCATTAAAATTGGGTGAATCAAATTTCAATTCGTTCAAATTCTCATGTACATTAAATTTCTCGGTAATTACTTTTTTATACGTGGTTATTATAACCAAAACAAAAGAATTAAAGAAAAATCATTTATTATAATTTATAACTCAGTTATACAAAACTTTTCCTAAATGAGTGGAAGAATTTACGAGTAGTGAATATAAAAGCATGTATAAAATCATGGATGGGGAAATTGCACTTTTCAAAATAAAGAACAAGTCATGGGGAAACGTATAAAAGAGAAGTAAAATTAACGTTAAAAGAAATTTAATTGCAAAAACAATGGAAAGAAACAAACTTCAAACGGGCAATCAACCCTCGAACAAATAAAGCTACGAATTATTAGCAGAAATTAGTCGAGCATGTTGATTTTAAAACATCATGTGATCTTATTAAATAATAACATTTTATTAAAAACTATATCAAAATATAATAAAACATATGAAACTGAGTGTATTTTTTCATTTTTTAATAAAAATGGTATTTTTAACCGTTTTATTAGATTGAATGTTTATTTTTATTGAAATGAAATTATAATTAATAAATAATACTAAAAATACCTAAAAGCTTATAATTAAGTTTTGTCCATTCTTGAATTCGAAGTGGAGAAAAGGAAAAGGCAATAAAAACAGGCCTTATGCTGATATGTGAGGGAGTTGGCGAAAGGGGAAATGGGGGCCACAAACACCAACGGAAGGAAGGAATAGTGGTTTGGGGCAGAGCGAGTGACCCACACACGCAGTATCAGCGATGACCGAGTCAAATACACTTTACACATAACCCAACGTGACATGGCGTTACGCATAGCACGTTCACCCCCCACACATCCACCAAAGCATCGAACCCTTCAACCATCGTCCTTCACGCGCGTGCCTGCCCCCACCCATGCTCGCTTCCCAACCCCAAATAAAGTTCTTTTCTTAGCTCTCGCCATATCATGTAGTAATTGTAGCGTAGCGTAATTAATATTTGTAATGCTTCTAATTGTTTACAATAAAATAATTAATTTTTTAAAACTATTTAAATAAATTATTTCCCTTAAATAAAAACTATAGAGCCAACGCGGAAAGAGACAGCTACGCTTTTATTTTGGAAATGAACATAACAAAGGAAATAAAAATATATTTTACCAAAAATTAAAAAAAAAAAAAACTATTTAACATTTTCTAAAAAAGTATATTAAAACACTCATGTAACCAAAGGAAAAAAAATAAAACACTCTTCGCGTATTACACGTGTCAAAGCTGACCCCGCTTAGGAGCAGGTCCTTCAAGTTCGAACCCGGTTATCAAAGAAAAAAAAAAGCAAAAATCTTCGCTATCAAGTAAAGGCCTAACTAAAACCTCAAGAAAGCAAGGTCGCAACTGGCAATAAAAATATATATCCGTTCCCACGACTTGCTTTTCTTAATCCACTCCTTAAGATTGATTTATAAATTATTAAGGGAAAAAAGTTTCACTTGTAGAAGAATACAAAATTAGTTAAAATGTATCAACAGATGAATAATAATGCTTTATCCGCATCTTGCTATAGTGCAAGCAGATTAACTTTACAGAGTACAACCTCGCGCTAATTCTAAGTGAAAAATTAAAGTGTAAAAAGCAAATTAACTATGTAATGTTAAAGCAAAAATCTAAACAAAATATAGAACAGATCCAGCTGCCACCACTACTTGGTGTAAGCAAAAGCTACTTTAGTTTATACACTAGCAAGGGGCGTCCCCAGCAAGTCAAAAACATTTCCTATCCAATTTAATTTATAATACTGATTGTTGTATTATTAATTTAAGACAACAATAAATACATTAATAAAAATATACCTACACAGGGAGGGTCGCGACGGCGAATCGTAAAAATTTGAAAAAGAATTAACACCATAAATGGAAAAAGAAACATCATTAGATAAAAATTCATTCCATTATTACTTTTATAGTAATTGGGATGGACAGGCTGTAATCAGATCTTAATGGTAAAGTGATAATTCCCCCGAATGATTACACTGTGATTCAACAAACATGAAAGGCTGTAATCCTCAGCAAATCAGGGCCAGCCTTGCTTCTTCAAGCTTTTTTTTTATTTTATCCAAAATCCAATGCCCTAAAAAAAAGAGAGGGGCAAAAATTTCACCCATCCACCGCTTTGCTTTTCCCAAGCCTTCAGAAAGAACAAAAGTTACTGATATCACTGCCATCTTCTGCTGCTACCGCTGGCTGCATCAACAGAGCTTTTATACAGAGACAACCACCCCTCGCCCAAATTATTTCTCCCTTCACCTACGCGATGTCCCGAAGAACAAAAAGACCCCTATATTTGTTCCCAAACCAAACAAAATCCCTGTTTCTTTCTCCTACCCTATATTGCTATTCACCTGTAGAATAATAATAAAAATTTATAACTATCATCCATTTCACCAAACACTGAAAAACCCCTAAACCTTCTAACGCCTTCCCCTTAAAAATATATTAAAAAAGGACCAACTAGTAACTATAGATCAATAAGTCCATTCCTGAGGCAACTGAATCTCATGGTTCACTTGTGGATGCGGCCTTATGCTGCGCTTCTGTTGAGAAAAACCATAATTATTATTACTCCGAACCCTTGGAATCGCCGATCCTGCACATGACCAACAAATTAAAAATTCATAAATCAATAAACTTGTCCCAAAAATAAAATAATAAACGAAATTAATATAAAAACACAAGGAAAATGCCAAGCCCATTTTACCCTTTTCCATACTAGAGCCCCCATTGAAACGAGGGTAGTGCTGTTGAAAATGACCACCCACCATGCCCTCCAGATTCAGATTCAAGGCCTGTGCCACTCTATCCGGAACCAACACTGTTGAACACACTTCACCCATAAACAATTTTAAAAACAATTATATACTTTATAAAAATCAAAAGAAGATTTTATTTATTGACAAATTAAAAAAACACCTTAAATTCTTACCTGACTTTTTCCGAGATTCGCTAGTATTGTCAACACAACGAGGCAAGAACACCCCGGTTCCGGTGCTTTCCCTTTTCCCCGAAGGGTTCCCAAGAAAAACAGCCCTCATGCCAGACCCAAATTGCTGCTTCCCCTGTTGCAGAGATGGCCATGCAGAAGAAGACAAGCCCGTGTTGTTACTCCTAACGTTGTTCCTGTTGATGTTCCTTCCTCTGTTGGGGACCATTTGCCTCTGCTGTTGCTGCTTCGCCATCTGTTGTTGCCTCAACATCTCAAACTAACAGACAATAAAAAATTAAGAACCAAAAATAAAAAAGTGAAGTTAAAGCCAAAAGATGTTATTGTTATAGTTGTTGCTTACTTGTGCAATTTGTAATTGTTGGTGAGAAAACGACTGTTGTTGCTGCTGTTGTTGGGGGTAAAATCTTAATCCAAGGCCAGGGTTGGGTTGAGTCGTCACAACGGTAGAGGGCTTTGGCGCGTTACGGACAAAACCATAACCGCAACGCTCGTCGCTTAGCCGCATCCTCTCCACTTCCCCTGCAGCCGCACGTAGGAGATCCCACGTCGCCCTCTGCGAGTTCATCTGCGAAACGCTACCGTTTGGACTCGAACCCTTTCCACTGCTCCCCAACGCGCTCAGCGTTGATTGCGGCGAACCAGACCCAAACACACCCTTCAAAATTAAAAACAATAAGTGAGTGAAATGAACTTGGACTAGTGCTCTTTTTTTCTTTATTTATTTCCTTTTTTAAGTTACCTTGGGTTTTTCACTAGCGAAGGTGTTGTTGTTACGAGAGACGAGATCGAGTTCGAGAGTGGAGTGAGCGAGTCGGCGAGTCAACTCGGCCATGTGTTGTTCTTCCTCATCACTCTCGGTCTCGCTGGAGCCAACCACGGACTCCACCGGGGAACTGAGATAGGGGAACAGAGTTCTCGAGACGGAGTCGAAAACGTCGTCGTTTTTGGCGTTCAAAGCAGCGAGGCTGTTGTTGTGGATGTTGTCAAACGAGGCGTCGTCGTCGGTGAGGAACTGAGGGGGCAGCCAAAACTCGCCGTCGTCCAAGTTGTCAGCCATGGGGGAAAAAGAGTGATCCGAATATGAATTTAAATTTGAGTTTGGGAAGTTAGCGATGTGAAAAAGAGAGGGAAAGTAGTATGTATTGAAGGAGAGATCTGAGTGGGTTTGGATAGAACAGAGCGTTCCCTTTAAGTACACCGAGGAGTGTTGTCTCAAGACACAGGGAAACGGTTTCGGGAGTTTTTTTTTTTTTAATTTAATTAATTGGAAGTTGGGGAGGGAGAGAGAGGGAACGAGGGTGTATATCTAGAGAAATGGAGAGGCGGTGCTTTTGGGGTTACGCGCGATTGGGTGGGAGTGCCTACACGCGCCAACCATGCAGAATAGTGGGGCATTGGGGGATGGGTCGTAGTGGGGTTTTGGTCTTTTCCTTTTTTACCGTTTTTAGTTTCGGTTTCTCTCTTTCTGTGGGGCAACACTGGACTGTTCTGCTAAGCGTGTGAGAATGAAAATAAATAGATATTAAAATTTAAAAGTACACGAGAAACTCATATTTGAGATAAAAGAAAGTAAAAATACATAATAATTTATATTTTAAAATGTAAAAATATTATTGAATTACCATAAAATTATTATTACAAATAAAATAATAAAAATTATTGCATGTAATAGGGAAATTTCGATTTATAATATAAAAATAATTTGCATGCTTATTTTTATAATTATTGATGAAATTAAAAATTATGTTCGTATAACATATATATATATATATATATATATATATTAGTATGTAAAGTTGTTAACATTTATTTATGGGTTTGTAACTAATAATTATAAATTCATATTATATTTTTTTAAAAGGTAAATGAAATTAGGATCCATTCTCACTAATTATATTTTTTAAAAACAATATTAGTCTAATTTTTAATAAAAAAAATACTATATTTATTCTTTAATTTTAATTATAAAATAATTTTAAAAATTAAATATATAATTATTAAGTTATAATAATAAGATAAAATTTATATATCATATCATTTATATTTTTTATAGTGTTCTCTAATTAATATTAAAAATTATTCAATAATTTATTAATCAAAATTAGTATAAATTATTGAAATAAAATATTATTTTAAAGAAAAACAATATTAAAAATACCTGTATATTATATTTAAATTTTCTTTTTTTATGTATTTATTATAATATTTATGTTCACAAAATCATAATTTATTATTAACGTAAATAAATATATGTATTCATTTAATATATATATATATATATATATATATATATATATATATATTTATATTTATATTTATTAATTTAATAATTTTATATAATTATTTTTATTAATTTTAAAAAATCATTTAATTTAAAAAAATAAAAAATATTAATTATTAATCTGTGAAATCAAACAACTACTTTTTATTATTTAATCATTTTTACTTTTTAATTATATTTTTTCTTAACTTATTAAAAACAACTAAGACATGTCACCACCAATTATTGAAATATTTCAAACTGATGTTAAAATTTATTTTATTAAAACTAATTTAAAATATTTAATGTGATAGTATATAAATTAAAATTGTAATCAATATATTTATTTATTATTTATATTTTTAATATATTTTTAACTTTATATTATTATTATTTTAACATTACATATATTATTATTTTTATTTCTTCATAATGATATGACTAAGAAAGTCACAATTACCATTATCTTGAATGGTACAAAGATAAATTTGTATTCAAACAAATTAAACTATTTTTATATTAATATTTAAAAAACTTATATTTTAAATAAATATATTTTTTATAATCTAGTTATTTGATTATAACTATTTTATATCTTAATTATTAACGTTAAGTTTGAAATAATTTCATTACTAATAAACTAGCACTTTAATTATTGCTATTTTTATATATATTTTTTTACAAATATAAGTGATGTTTAAGTGATATATGAAATATTTTTGAATTAATTTTTTTTTGTAAATATAATTTATACAACGATAACTTATATTTTAACAGTAAATTTGTTAAAATATTATTCAATGACATAAGAATTTGTATAGTTAAACCATTCCTCGTATTAAAATTTCAATATGATAAATAAAGGAAAAATTATGCAATGATGAATAAAAGGAACAAAAATATATAATAACAAAAACTGTAATCAGAACTAATTTAGAATGTTTGCTTTTAGTTGTATAAAAATTGATGTATTGGTTGAAAAGCGATGGTATATATTGTTTAAAAGGCAAAATGAAGAATTCTAATTAGTAAAATTTAAAATTAAGTTGATATAAAATCTACAGACATATATGATAATATATAAATTTGTTAAATTTTAGTTATGAATTTTTAATTAATAGTTATTATTTCATTTATTTTTTTTAAAAGTTTTTGCTTTAAAAGGTAAACGAAATTGGGATCCATTCTGGATAATCATGATTTTCCAGGAATAAATACATTATTGATTACTGAATAGTGAAATAAAATCAAATTCTTTTATCATTATAAACTTCACTTTTTTTAAGTTGAAATATTTTTTATTTAATTTATATAATTTCGGTAAAAACAATTGGAGTCAAGCCGCTGTCTCTAACCAAGTTGAAGGTTAAAATTACACTTTTTTTATAATATATATTTATTTAGTTTAAAAAATATAATTAATATGTTTGTTTTCTTAAAATTATTTGTAGTTCTTTTAACATATTTTTACATTTATTACTCTTAACATTTTATTTGTTATTACTTCTTCCATTTTCTTGATACAGGTATAATTAAAAAATTATGATTAATATTATCTTGAAAGAGAAGTTAAACTTATACCCTACATTACATCAATTCTTATAACATTAATTGTTTTTTTATAAAATATATACTTTATTTTAAAAATTAAATTATAATTAATTATTATCATTATTATTTATCAAATAGTAAAACTTTAACTCTGATAAATTGATAATTAAATAAATTTTAATATTTTTTAAAAAATAATATATTAAATTTGATATATTTCAATTGTACATCAAATTATTTTAAATTATTATAAAATTTTGTAAATGTAATCTATATTAAGTAACTTTCAATCCCGAAGTAGATCAAGTAAAATATTTTCATTGGTGTAAGAGTTTGTACAAGTTACATTAATGTAATTTGATATTATTTTCATCTAAAAATTTTATTATGACAAATAAACAAAAGTGAAAATCTATGAAACAATAAATAAAAAGAAAAATTAATAACAAAAGTAAAAAAAGAAAAAAAAAAACTAATTAATGTTTGCTTCAGCCATCTGGGGGAACCTAATATTTTTATATTTTATAGTAAAGTAATCATGAAGATTTGCTATTGTTAAGTATTTGTTAGTTTTCTTGTATAAAAAAAATAGCCAATCACGATTTCCTAAAAATATTAATAGTTACTAAATAATAAAAAAAATTCTTACCAACTAATTAATATTCTTTTATTTTTATTTTTATAAGATATTTTCGGCATTCTGTGTCTAAACTTTTATATTAAATTAAATAATATTATTTATAATTTATCTTTGTAAAGGATTTTTTAAATTAATTTAAGTTAAAAATATTTATAAATTATTATTAAAATTTTATTTTTTGATTGTATTTAATTTTTAATTTAAAAATGTATAAACATGATTTGATATTTTAATACTTTATTATCATTAAAGTATTTTTATTTAAATGCTTTTAAATTTTAATTTTTCACATATCACATGTATTTTTAAATATATGTTAATCATTTTGAATTTAAATAAACCAAAATATAATCATATATCATTTTGATTTGACCGTATTTTATTTGAAAAATGATGAAATTGGGTAGAGGCTAGAAGCCTATGATAGGATTGAAAAAGATTTGGAAGGTGTTAAACACTTGGGGTGAGGTGTGAAGGTGATTTGCATTGCAACAGAAAAGTTTGAAAACGAGTGACTCGGCACCACGACGTGACTGACCGAGTTGCTCCCTCACTCACTCATCCCTCCTTTGCTTAGCGGTTGAAGCACACCACTGTTCACTGGGCCCACCCAAAATTATATATTTTTTATTTATTATAAAATCTGTTTAATATCTAAAATATTATTTATTAAATTAAATCAAATTTAAGACTCTGTTTTGTCCATGCGATGGCCACCTGGCACTGCGCCCTTGTTCCATTGCATATGATTTTCGGTTTGTTTTTTACCTCAAGCATCTTTTTTCTTTCTTCCTTTTTTTTTCCTCTCTTTTTTGTTCCTTTTTATTTTCCCTATTCCCCTTCAGCTTATCGATTAAGCATCCTTTGCTTGCAAGTTTTCAGTTTTCCCATTATCTGAGTTTCTTCTTTTGACGATTTTGCTCATTTTCATTTTGTGCCTTGATGCCTGAAACAGCTTTGTGAAACAGTGCATCACCAAAAAATTATAAAATAAAAAGATCAAGGATTTTTTTTTTTTTAAAAGCAAAATATGGAGTAGAATGGAAAAAAATAATCAGACTTTCAATAGAAAAATTTTAAACCAAAATTAGAAGTTATGTGCGGTAAGGAAATTGTAAGAAAAATGTCAATTATACATTAATTTTCCATCGTTTTTATACCCAAAAAGAGAAATTAAAAAATATAAAAAAAATGTGATAAGATACATAATACACACTGTTGAAAATCACAACTATGAATCACGCCAATTATTATAATAACATTAAATCTTCGACGGTCAAGTTATGTTACCATACCATGCTTATAACCAGTTATTAAGCTCAATGAAGAATGTGATTTATTTCTTATCATTACCCTATAGCAGTCACTTCTTTATACGTAGATCATCTCAATTTCGTGTACAGCTCAATCGTAACATTCTCTAAAACTTTATTTGACCTACTGCTATTAGATTTACTAGAAATACATCAGATCAGATCAGATCATATTCTATAAAAATTATTAACAAATATTATAACTAAATTATAATTAATTGAGAAAATCAGTTGGTACAGGTAATGATATATTATTTCTTGTTATGATAATAACATGAAATAAATATGCTTTCTTATGCAAAATTAGTTTTCTTTTTTCTTTTTTTCGGAGCGCAAACTGTTGAATTTTTCATTTATACCGTATCACACTTTACTAAAGCTTATGCATAGCATGTTAAGATATCTTTACTGTAAGAAACGTTTTTTGTTTTTTACTTTTATTAATAATTATCAAAATTTCACGACATTTTTATTTTAAAAACATTTACAATAAATGAAGAAAA